GAGAGGCAGCATGCCGCCAAATGAATTTCCGGATGTCTACAAGAGGTTTCGAGTCTGTTTAAAACGTGTTAAACATGTTTGAAACATGTTGCATCACATGTTGTACACGATTTCGGCACGGGTGTCCATGGTCGTGGCATCCACAAGGCTAGCCTGGGGGCGTTTGAGGTCCGAGGTTGTCGGGCGTCGTCGTCGGCTCTCGGCGGCGGTTTTCCAGCCCCAGGATGCGCTCCAGCAGCTGCGCCTCGCCGGGGGCAGGCGCCCGAGAGGGGGCGGGCCTTCGCAGACTCAGGTGACGCAAAGGTACCTTATACCTCTGCCCCTTCGCCCATTTTCCCCTTTTGTACCTCCTGGGAGGCCCGCGTCGCCACCGCTGGATTCGCTCCGAAATCTTGGCCAGAGCGCGCCCCGGGAGAGGTTCGGCGAGTAGCGGTATCGGTACCTTTTGGTTTCCCCACAGACGGCTCGGAAGGCCTGGGACCTTCGGGGAGGTGTCAAGGCCTTCCCCGAAGGCACAGGATGCTTCTCAGAAGGCTGGGGGGCTTCTCAGAAGCCCCGCCGCCTCTTGAGACGGCTTTATTCGTAGGTTCTAAACCTCCTACCCTGACACGTCGATGAGGGAATCGGCCATTTTCGATTCGCAAGAGGGCGTCGCGGCTGTTATTTTTGCGGGTCCAGGTCCGTCGGTTTCGGTCCTGGGCCGTTTTTACGAAAGGAAGTTTTATGAAAGGGAGATTTGTCCACCGCCAGCTTATCCCTCTTACTTCCGCCCCTAGCGCGCCGCCGAGATGCAGTTGCTTTTTCCGATGCTCACCACCGGTTCACGGTTCGCAGCGTGCTGCCAGCGCGGCCCCCACGTGGTGTTTCTGAGGCAAGTGGCTGCGGAGGTGGGGAAGCGTTGCTGCAATCCCGTCCTCCCGCCCATCCCGCCCACTCCGCCCATCCCGCCTGCGCCGCCCTTCCGTCGATGCCACGGCTGGATTCTCCGGGGCATCCTGGCGTTGAAAGTAGGTAGTTTAGGATTCCCAGACCCCAGTCTGTTTTAGTTGCTTTCCTACTTCAAGGACCGAGTGGCTCCCCTCTTCCTTCATCTTTGGGGGCGGGCGGAGATCCAATCGACTTTCGACGCCGTCCTGCGTCATGCTCCCATCTGCCCACTTCTTCTGGCCGGCGGGCAGCAGCACGGGCACCTTCTTGTTCCCCCCTGCCTCGCCGCGGACCTCGGCTCCGAGGCGGCAGAGCACCTGTGGCTGTCGCTGGAGGAGGGCGGGCGCCTGCGCTGGGCCCCGGCCAACCCGATGGCCGACGAGTACCAGAGCCGCATCTCCGGGCGCCGCTGAGCAGCCTCCAGCCGACTGCGCGCGGGGGGGTGCGGACTGTAACCAATGCGGCGACGACGAACGGTGGCCGGCTCTCGATCGAGAGGGCAATCTTGCACCCTCCCCACCTCCCTCCCCAGAATACATGTTCTCTTTTCCCTCCAGGTCAATGTCTCGTCCCCGCCCTTGCCAGGGAAGATGCCCGACATGGTTTTTGTAAAGCTCGTACCTTTCTTCGACTTTGCCCTTGCTGAGACGCGTTATGCTGTTATTATTGTTTCAGTTGTTGTTGCTGTTACTGTTGCGGTTGCTGTTGTTGTTCTTCTTCTTATTAATGTTGTTGTGTCGAAAACGGGAAGGGGGCATACAGAAAAACCTATACCATGAAAGGGCGGGGAAATCAATGTTTTTTTTTAAGCGGCCAGAAAAACACCCCGTCTCCGCTTTGAAGCAGAGTCTTGTTTAGACACACTCCGCGGCTTCCAAACCACATAGCTTACACCACATAGTTTACATTGCATAGCTTGCACCACAGAACGGGATGGCCGACAGATGCCCTGACGATCCCTTGAAACATGTGGTTCGTGAAGAACTTCGTCCTGTCAGGAAGATAATGTTGGAGGTGCGACCCATCGACCTGAAGGCGGCCTTCCCATCTCTTTATCTGCTGGCTCTTCAAAGTGCTGGAGGCGTACCGGTTGCCTGCAACTGTTTTTGGCCCGCTCTGTTTTCTGTACGCGCAGGTTTTCTACCTCATTTTGTTCGGAGTGAGTTTTTTCTTGGGTTTGAACTAACGCCTGGTGAGCGTCAGGGATGTCCCTTCGTTTTCGACCCGCTGGTCGGAGCAATGGGGGGAGTCCAGATTCGTATGCCTGTCGTGCCATCGGCCTTCGCGGATGATCTGTCAGTGCTGATTTTCTGTTTTTTTTCTGGCGTTTCTTGGGATCCTGGCAGTATTTCGTATCCATGGGCCTTGTTCTGGTTTGTATTGAATTGAGTATCGAACATGCAAATTGGTTTAATTGTCAGCCCGCGTAGTGAGGATGGGCAACATTCTCAAGGGTACCCTTGCATCCTTGCCCCTTCGCCCATCCTCAGCGACTGTCGCTGGCCAACCTCGTTCGAAAAGTGTCAACATGGTCCTCCACGGCCCTTGCATCCTTACCGCGCATCTTCATGATACGAGTTGACCGTATTCAAAAAGGTGGGGAAGGAGACGGTGGTGAGGAGGTTCCAGGAGATCGGAGTCGATTTCTCAGAGTTCGTAGTTACTGATCTGTTGGTCACTCTTGGCATCCAGGTCGGACGAAATGCTAGAGCTCAGTCTTGGAGAGCCGTTAGCAGTAAAGTCCGTGCCCGTGGGAATCAGGTCAAGGCATTAGGACTCAGGATGATAGCATCACAACATATATTGTGCATCCATCCCCTCCCTGATTGCCCAATGTCATCTGGTTGCCACGCTGGCCCTAAAACTCAAGAGGGAAGCCACCATCTGCTCACAGGGTCGCGCCGCCATTTCTTTCCCCGCAGGCGCTTTTAAGACTCCAGGAGCTGGGATGCCCAATGGAGTGCAAGAGTATGAAGGTGATCTCGTGGGCCACCACGTTGCGAGTCGCCATTTGCTTCGAGGTTCTCGCGAGGATGAGGGAAGCACTTAAGATCATGATCTACGGCGACCTGTAACATTTAACCTGGAGGCGGAACCCGTAGTTGGTGGACTCACAATTCTTCAACATGCATTTTCTGTACGACTAGTTCGAACTGTTAAACAATAGTGAGTCCTCACATCGATCTTCCATGTTTGGAACACTACACGTCGCTGCCGACAACAACACATTGCTTGTGCATTTGGATGTGGATTTCGAGGATCTGACCCTATGGAGCACAATGTGGTTTACCCTGTGTTAGGGTCTGCGTGTAGGCAACTTCTCCCTCATCTTCCCCTCAGTGGGGGCGCGAGTGCGCACAACGCCATGCCCCGTCGTTTGTTTGATATGTCTTGTCCTGCCCCCGCTTCCGCAACTGCGCCTGCTGCACCGCCCTCGGCCTCCCTCCTTTCCCACGCCGATGCGGTCGACGCAGTTCTTGCATTCTTTTAGGCCCTCAGGAGCCGCCTTGCCTCTCCCCAAAGTTCACGGGAGTTGATGTTGGCAAGTTTCAGGTGCTACGTTGGTTCGTTCGTTCTCTTTGCCGCTAGTCCCGTTTGTGCGGTTCGTTGTGTCGTTTCCTTTCGTCGCCCCCTTTGTCCCCGCTTGGGGCTCTCCCTTGGCTCTGTGGGTTTAGAGGTGCCTGGAGGCAGCGCTGGGGCTTGGAAGAAGAGCTGGCGCGGCGATCGGCCGGAAGACTTTGCCCTCTCAGGGGTGCCACTCCCCCTCCTCCGCTGGCCTTTCCCGTGCCACGGGCGCGGGGCGCGTCGGCTCCGACCGACTCGCTTCCGCTCCGCCCTCGCTCCCGCTCGCTCTCGCCCGCTCCTGCTCATCCTCGTGCTCGTCCGCCGCCTCCCCGAGCTCCCGACCGCGCCTGCGCCAGGCGAGACGCGGGGGCCCGCCCTCCCGTGCGACGGGCACACGTTCGAGCGGCCCGACGACGGCCCCGCATGTTTTTGCAAGACGTCTGCCAGCATCTTACCAGTTTGAAGCATACACCTTAGGCGATGCTTAAGAAGACTTAAGTTTTCGGCCAGAGTCTCGATTATTCTTAACGTTTCGATGTAAATCTTAAGTTTTTAATAGACATGTTGGGTTTTTATTCAACTTCTGAGACTATAAATTTCTTAACCCATGATTTCTTAAGCACTTCGCAGGGTGTATGTTTGACATCACCTCACCCCGATGCCGATCTTAAGGATTCCCTCAGTTTCTGAGGGCCTGTCCCCAAGATTGTCCTCGCTTCTTGCTCGCCCATCTCAGGGACAGGGATCAGACCGAGGCTGGTTAGCATCAAGCTCGTGCGCCATCCCAGACGTCGGCGTATATATCATACAAGTCCGCCGCTTCCTCCTCTTCCACCTGCGCGCAGCTCTGCTCCTCCGATGTTGCGCACGCCGCGGCGGGGTCTGTTCTGGAGCTCCGGGCCCGCCATGGCGCACGCGCCGGCGGACTGAGAGCACGGTAGCGCAAAAGGAAGGCATGCGTGGGAGCGGGGGGACGCCCGATGTGGCGCGCGTGCACCTAGCTTGCCTTCCTCCTCCTCCTCCTCCTCCTCCTCCTCCTCCTCCTCCTCCTCCTCCTCCTCCTCCTCCTCCTCCTCCTCCTCCTCCTCCTCCTCCCCCTCCCCCTCCTCCTCCCCCTCCCCCTCCCTCCCCCCCCTCCCTCCTCCTCCTCCTCCTCCTCCTCCTCCTCCTCCTTTTCCTCCTCCTCCTTCCCCTCCTCCTCCTCTTCGTCCTCCTCCTTTTCCTCCTCCTCCTCCTCGTCCTCCTCCTCGTCCTCCTCCGTCTCCTCGTCGCACCTTTTCCTCCTCGTCTACCTCCACCTCCTCCTTCTCCTCCTCCTCCTCCTCCTTTTTTCTCTTCTTCCATGCACCCATCCCGCGCCCAGGATCGGCGTGGCCACGATTGACGTGCATGTGCCATTTGCGGTTTTCTACCAACGTCAAAGCCGTCGCCGAGGGTGGCACGCATCGAGCGCCAAGGGGGCGTCGTCGTCGGCGCCGTCGTCGACGACGACGGCGACGACGCCGTCGCCAGCGGTGGCACGCATCGAGCGCCAAGGGGGCCGCCCCAGCCTGGCCAAAACCGCGCCGCTTCTGCCATGGGCCATGGTTTTGAGTGGCAAGGGCAGGCACCTTGCCGCCGCCCGCGCATCGGTCAGGGGGTCGGGACGCGCTGTCGTCGCAGCCGGCGTCTTCGCAACATGGGGAGGAGGAGGAGGAGGAGGAGGAGGAGGAGGAGGAGGAGGAGGAGGAGGAGGAAGGAGGGGCAGGCGGATTGGTCGGGCCAGGCGGAGGACAGGGAGGAGGGGGGGGGGAGAGAAGGGCAGGGAATGGAGGGAAGACGTGGAGGTCGAGGGGGAGGCGAGGGCTGCGGATGGCCAGGTGGGAAGGCAGGCCCGCGGGAGGGGCGCGGGCTCCTTGGGAGGAGGTTCGGCGCCACCGCACGGCGGCAGGCACGAGGTCTTCCGGGAGCCCGCAGAGGCCCCCGGAAGCCCGGGAAGGGCGAGCCTTGGCAGCAGCCGCTCGATTTTGTTGTTCCTTCTTTCGGGAGGGGAGGAGGGGGAGGGTACGGAGGAAAAGGGACGAAAGGGCAAGGAGGGATGGGGGAGGGGGGGGGGGGTAAGAGGAGCAGCGAGGCGGAAGGTGTGGCAGGAGGCTCCGTCGCCCCTCGTCAAGTTTGCAGACCGGTCGGCCATCTTCACACCCTGGGCTCCCCTCGGGTGCGAGGGTCGTGGCAGCAGCTCTTCGTAGAACCAGGTGCCCGCAGCGTTTAGGCATTCCTGAATGGGAAGCTGGAGGAGAAGGGGCACAAGAGCAAACCCAAGATGCATCGACGATGCTGCAGCACACTCGCCCATTCGGAACCCCAGCGTACTATTGCGCGAAGCGTCCCCCCCTGAAAGACGAGCGCTTCATGGTCCCGCAGTTCAGGCGGGAGTCCCGTTCTGAAAGACATGGGCCTCCGTCTGTCGAGCTACAGTGGAGACCCATGCCAAGAAACACCCCGTTCGCCTCCACAGGGTGACCTGGGCTTCTTGGGCTTCGACGGTTTTGCCGTGGAGAGCGCAACGCTCCCACACCAAACATCAATGGACGTCCTGGGATCTCAGGGTTGGGTTTCCTGTGGAAGGTTTCTTGTGTCGGGGGCGCGCCAACATGGATTAGCGATCCATGGACTTGGCGCGCAGTCGCCAAATCCATGGACGGGGGGAGGTGCCCTCCCCAAAATGCAGCCAGTGCCGCCTCGCTCGGCGGCGGAAACACGCGCTTTCCCATGGAAACGGGGCCCGTCGCTAATCCACGCCCCCCTTGATCCATGTCTGCGATCGCCTGACTGTGGACGGGCCTCCACTGCGTGCGCACCGCGACAAGGCAGGTACTCATCGGCAAAGTTCGGGGCAGCGCCCAGCGGCAGACCCGCTCTGAGAAAGAGGCCCGCCCTCCATCCGTGTACCTGCTGCGCGTGTCCTACGCTTTGGTTGGCCCAAAGGGGGATCCAGCGACTACAATTGAGCCGGGCGTGTCCCTCTACAGGAGGAATATTCAAAACTAGCAAAACATAGTCTGGGGACGATTCTTTGACTATGGTTTAGTGTTAGTGTGTTTCTGTAGATGTTTGTTGTATGTTTTATGTCTCGTCCAAGATCCCCATGTAGGGACAGGCCCGACCTACGACTACAAGGGGGTGGTGCAATAGATGTGGTGCAATAGATGTGTGGGGTTGCAGCAGACTTGGGGCGTGCAGTATGTTCCCGTGCGCAGGTGTATCGCTGGGTTGTCGCGTGCAATGCGTGATTTGCAGTACAATGCACTACGCCTCTCTGGCGCAGTACAACTGCCCCAAGCCTACTGCACCACCCCCTTATCCGCTGGTAGTCATCAGGCAAACGACGCCTCGATCGACAGCCCCTGCCGAACACGTTCCGCCCTGCGTCCGTGCCACACTTGTTTGACTCAAGAGGCCCACGCCGTTCCGCCGACTCCCAGCAGAAGTCAGAGCTTGCGACGATCGTGGACGTTGTCCGATGGCCTTCGGCACATCCCGCCACAAAACCTGGGTCGTGGGCACGAAGGACGTTCGTTGGGGTCTCGTGGGAGGCCTCTCGGGGGCCTCTTGGAGGCAGTTTGGGCGCCTCCTGGGAGCCGCTTTGGAGCCTCTTGGGGCCATTTGGGCCTCTCAGGGGGCCTCTTGGGGCCCTTCTCTCGAGGGCCTCTTGGGGCCTCTTAGGGGCCTCTTAAGGGCCTCTGAGGGTCTCTTGGGACGGAAGGTTTGGATGTTCGATTCCTTTTCCCTCTCTTGGGCCCCTTTGGGGGCCATCTGTGGGCCCTCTTGGGCCATTTTGGGCGCCTCTTGGGTCGTCTTGGGGCCCGCTTGGGCCGTTCTGGCACTTTCTTGGAGGCCTCTTGGAGCGGTCTTGGGGGCCTTTAGGTCCGCCTGGGAGCGTCGGGAAGCCGAAACGGCGAGAACGCCGAACTCCTTCAAACACCTAAGGAGAATCAAGGATGTTGGCATCTTGGAGCCCTCTTGAGAGACCTCCTGGAGGCCTCTTTAGCGGTCCCGAGGCGGTCTTGGGCCATCTTGGGGCTATCTTGGATGTCTTGGATATATGTTGGCCCATCTTGGCGGCTTTGGTGGCCTCCGAGGTCCGTCTTGGAAGCCGTCTTGGCCATCTTGCACGCCATCTTGGGCATCTGTGGAGCCCCCGAGGTGCGTTGACGAGCTCGTGCAGTCGGATTTTGGGTCCCTGGAGTGGGAGAAAGTGTTGGGGGGGGCAGCCAAATGTCTCACACGCCTATGGACACCGGGCAAGCGGGGGGCCGCGGATTTGAAGGGCAGTTCTGCGCGGCACCAGGGTGAGATTACAGTTTTGCAGAAAAGATCCGCGCGCCACCCGTGCAGGTTTGTTTATCTTCAATCACCGAGCGCGTTCCACTATTCGCAAAAAGTGCCTACTCGCAAACGTCCGAAGCAACCATGCCTGCGTCGATGTAATTGATCGTAGAGCCCCCGCGGGGGATCCAGGCCATTTGCGAGTAGTTACTTTGCGAGTCGTGGAACTCGCTCGTCGAACCAGGGCGAGAATCCAGCCTTGCAGAGGCGATCCGCGCGCCACCCGTGCAGTTCTCTTGGCATCGCTCGGACGTGTGCATTGTTCCTTCGGCGAGGACCATGGAGGAGCATCCTTGATCATGTGGCGAGAAAGCCACGCACGAAACCGAAAAAAGCACAGGGAATGGACGTCCGAGCGATGGCAGGGGACGCCGGCTCCCGGGCGGCGGACGTGGGCAAACCCCCGCCGCGCACCGGCGCCGCCGCGTGCCCGTCGACCGCGGCCCTGCCCAGCACGACGCGGGCGGCGCGGCGCGGGCCGACGCCGGCCGCGGGCCAGCGGCGGGGCGGCGGGGCGGAACGCGGTGACCACGCAGTGGGCTCAGATCGGGGAAACTCGGGGGCGGAAAGGAGGGGGGACGTCCGAGCGATGGCCAGGTCTTGCTTGTCTTCAGGACGAGCAGCGACTACAATTGAGCCGGGCGTGCCCCTCTACAGGAGGAATATTCAAAACTAGCAAAACATAGTCTGGGGACGATTCTTCGACTATGGTTTAGTGTTATTCTGTTTCTGTAGATGTTTGTTGTATGTTTTCTGTAGATGTTTGTCGTCTTGCCTGTCTTCAGGACGAGCGCCTGCGCGCGCCGCGCCGCGAGCCCGGCCCTGCAACGCCGCCCGCCCTCGGCCCGTGCAGCTGCCGGGGCACCCCCGCGAGCCCTGCCGGGTCCGGGGGAGGCTCGGGCGGCGCGCCTGCCCTTCCCGACGGCAGCCCCCTCTGTCGGAGGTCTGTCACGTGGGGGCCCAAAGAATATACACCACCACCACGTCGATTCCTCCTTCGGGAGCGGAAAGGAGGGGGGTCATGACTGGGGGGGGGGGATGTCATGGCGCGGGCCATGATTTTTCCTCAGATTTCATGGCGCCTCTTCTGATTTCATTACGTCCCTGGCCCCCCCGCTGGGCCGCGCACATGCCGCCGGTCATGATTTGCACCCCCCCCTCTTGGACACCCCCCTCTTTGCCGCTCCCGACTCCTCTCTCCTCTGTCCAGCGAGAGGAAGGGGGGGAGGGAGGTGGTGGTGGTGTATATTTTTCGGCCCCCCATCATAGGGGAACAACAAGTGGCATAAACATACAAACTCGGAGGTCCGCGCGGATTTCTCGGATCGGCGCTGGGGGCCCCCCGGCGGCGCCTCTGGCGCCGCCCCTGGCGCGCTCCGCGCGCCAGGGAGGGGGGTCCAGCGCAAATCCGAGAGATCCGCGCGGACCTACGAGTTTTTATGTTTCTGTCACTTTTTGATCCCTTACGACATGCATATTGGCGATTTGGCCGTTTTCGGTTCGCGAGGGCGTCGCGGCCGTCATTTTTGCGGGTCCTGGTCCGTCGGTTTCGGTCCGAGACCGATTTCACTAAAGGGAGGTTTACTAAGGGAGGTTTGTCCACCGCCGATTCTGGTGCTGTGGCAGGGCGGGGCTGCTCGCATGACGGGGTGATCGGAGGGAGGAGGGGAGGAAGAGGCGGAGGACGACGAGGGTGGAGGAGGCAGAGGAGGAGGAAGAGGAGAGGAAGGGGCGGGGGACGACGAGGGAGGAGGAGGAGGAGGAGGAGGAGGAGGAGGAGGAGGAGGAGGAGGAGAGAGGAGGAGGAGGAGGAGGAGGAGGAGGAGGAGGAGGAGGAGGAGGAGGAGGAGGAGGAGGAGGAGGAGGAGGGAGGAGGAGGGAGGAGGAGGAGGAGGAGAGGAGGAGGAGGAGGAGGAGGAGGAGGAGGAGAGGAGGAGGAGGAGGAGGAGGAGGAGGAGGAGGAGGAGGAGGAGAGGAGGAGGAGGAGGAGGAGGAGGAGGAGGAGAGGAGGAGGAGGAGGGAGGAGGAGGAGGAGGAGGAGGAGGAGGGGAGGAGGAGGAGGAGGAGGAGAGGAGGAGGAGGAGGAGGGGAGGAGGAGGAGGAGGAGGAGAGGAGGAGGAGGAGGAGGAGGAGGAGGAGGAGGAGGAGGAGGAGGAGGGGAGGAGGAGGAGGGAGGAGGAGGAGGAGGAGGAGGAGGAGTGGGAGGAGGAGGAGGAGGAGGAGGAGGAGGAGGAGGAGGAGGAAGGAAGAAGAGGCGGGTGTATAAGGGGGGAGGACGAAGAGGGAGTGAGGAAGAAGCGGAGGAGGAGGAGGCAGAAGAGGATGAGGGTTGCATCCTCCGCCCTCGTACCGTCCCTGCCTCCCTCCCTCCTCCCTCCCTCGTGGTTGGGGGAACGCGCCGCCCCGCCCAGCCGCAGCAAGAGCGGGCCCTGCCCACACCCGTGCCTTCGTCGCATCAGCCGCACTGCCTCCCTTTTCCCGCCGTCGCAGCCTCTTGCAAGCGCCGCTACCCCAGCCCGTTTCTTCCGCCCCCCTCTTCCAGCTTCCCCCCCTCCCCCCTTCTCTGGGCTGGTCTTGTTTTTGTTTCCCTCGTGTCTTTTGTTTCCCTTCGGGGTGTCGTCGGGGGGGTCCGGAAGTATTTTTTTGTTTTCCCCCCTCCCGGGGGGGGGAGCCTCGAGGTAGGTTTTTGTTTCCTCCTCGGAGGCTTTTTTTCCCTCCTGGAAGGGGAGCGGGCCGGGCCCGAGGGAAACAAAAAAAGAGCCGAGGGAAACAAGCAACAACTCCGAGGGGAAAAAAGACACGCCCACCCCCCGAGAGAAAAAAAGGCAACGAGGGACAAACAAAAACGACTCACCCCTTCCTCCTTCGCCCCCTTCCGGAGGGGGAGGGGGCGTGGGAGCGACGGAGAAGGAGAGAGGGGGGAGGAGGGGGAGAGGGGGGAGGAGGGAGGGGGGGAGAGGGGGAGAGGGGGGGAGGGGGGAGGGGAATGACCTGCCCCCTCCCCCCTCCTCTCTTGGGCAGGCCGCGTAGCAAGAGCTCGGAGCGTCCGCTCTCCGCCTGCCCTCCCGCCCCTCCCGCGCCTCCCGCGCTCCCTCCTCGCAGAGGGGGGTCTCCGGAGGCCCTCCCCCGCGCCGCCGCCGCGCCTCCTCAGGCGCCGCAGGGAGCTGCGGGAGTCGCTCGCGGGGGCCTCGGGGAGGGAGGGGATGGCCCTGGCCCGGTATCGTTTCACTGATCCCAATCCCCATCCCCATCCCCTTCGAGACCCCCACCAAAGTAGCACCCCAGTTGGGGATGCACCCCTCGAAACCCGAAGGAAAGGACCCATACCCCCATCTAGGGGGGTAAATCGGCCAGTGAGGCCTAGGCCACGCCGCTGGGGATGGGGATCGGTGAAACGATACTCACTGGCAATCTAGTGCCGGCTGGCCGTCTGAATGCACAGTTGCCGTCCGCAGCACCCTCGCCCGCAGGAGTTTTTGCTGCACGGCTTATGGTTTACAGAGGCTCCAGGACCTTCCACCCAGAGATCTGTCCATGGTTTCTGCGTTTTCAGTGCCTGTCCTTGGGCTGGTCAATCTAATTCACTTTCGCTTTCGGGCCCTGCGGAGGTGGAACACAGCGCAGAGAAGCCATGCAGCAACATGTTGCAACATTGTAGCTCATGATTGTCGTTGATTGGCCCCTCTCTCCTTTGCCCTCTCGCTCATGCGTCCTTCCCTTCCTGTTCCTCGCTTTTTCTTTCTCTCTCTCTCTCTCTCTCTGTAGCCGCGACGGCGTGAATAAGTTTTATCGTGAAAGCTTGTGCTCGTACATCCGGTCGGCCTCACACTGTGTGAGCCGAGCCGAGCCTTTCGATCTGCAGCAGGTGTTTACAGCACGTGCGCTCGAGTACTGCTGACCGTCTTGTGAAAACAGCTTGTTGAGGAAAAGTACTGCTGTTAGACGTCCGATCCCCTCAGACGTTGCTCGTCGAAGGGGGTGGGGGGCGGCAGGAGGAGGAGGAGGAGGAGGAGGAGGAGGAGGAGGAGGAGGAGGGCGCGGGCCCGCTCTGCCCCGGAGAGGATGGACGGGATCCGAGGATCGACGAGCCTTGGCGCTGCGCAGCGGGGGGTGGTCGGGGCTCGGGGGGCGGGGGTCGATGTAGATTCAAGTCGGGCCTGTCCCTCTGCAGGAGGAGTACGCAAAAATTTGGAGGTTGATAGACATCCTACCCTGACGCGTCGATTAGCGAATTGGCCGTTTTCGGTTCGCGAGAGGGCGTCGCGGCCGTCGTTTTTGCGGGTCCAGGTCCGTCGGTTCCGGTCCGAGGCCGTTTTCACTAAACGGAGGGTTTCTTAAAGGGAGGTTTGTCCACCGCCGAAAGTAAGTTTTGCATATGTTTTGGGTATTTCTGATGTTTCGTCCAAAATCCCCCTGTTGGGGGACACGCCCGACCGAAATGTAGATGAGGGCCAGCCAGGGTGCCAGATCTTGAAGTGTCCTGCAGAGCCATGGCCTGGGCCAGCACGCAGGATCCTGCAGGCTCCTGCAGGATCTCGCAGGATGCTGTGAAGCCCGCGTGCGACCCGGGTTCGCATTGACCCCGGTCGGTGCGTCTCCGAGGCGATCAAGGGGGGTGACGAAAGGTGCACCTCGTGTGCCCTAAAGGCGCCCCTTCTGGGGCCCATGAAGCGACAAAAGGTGCACGTTTCGCTCCATCCCCATACGTGTCCCTCCCCCATTCAGCAGCGCCCGCGGAGCGAAGATTTGGTGGATCGAACTGGGCACGGAGAGAATGGTGACGAAGCCCGGCGATGGTCCCCCGCCGTGTTGAGCAGGAATCGCTGGCGATGTCGCCGCGGAAGCGCAAGCGGTCCGTTTGAGGCAAACAGCTACTTGTCCATTTGCGACCGTTTTTGGTTTGGGGCAACATTTGTTGTTGGGGCATCGTGTCCATGTTTGCCGTATTCATTTCGAGCGTGCCAAGAGGATGTAGATGGATGAGGAGGAGGAGGAGGATCGAGGAGGAGGAGGACGAGGATGTGGAGCAGGAGCAGGAGCAGGAGTAGGAGCAGGAGCATCGAGGAGGAGGAGGAGGAGGAGGAGGAGCATCGAGGAGCAGGAGGAGGAGGAGGAAGAGGATGAGGAAGAAGGAGGAAGGGGAGGATTGAGGAACAGGAGGAGGATCGAGGGGTCGACCCGGTGTTGGAAAGAAATGCGACCAGGGTGGACGGAGGGGCGGGGATCAAGCAGGCTTCGGATCGAGTTAAATCGCTCCAGAGCGTTCCAGAAAGCTCTCAGAACATTCCAGAACGCTCTGAAACGGCCGCGGCGCCCGAGACATCCGATTATCCTTAGAACGCGTGTTAGACTAAGCGTGTGTTGACCACGTTCGGTTCCGCCGATAGCGCGCAGCCTGTGTCGGCCCTCGCTGTGCTGCCGCCTCCGTCGTAGTGAAGAGCCTCGGTGGACAAACGCACGTTGGCGCTGACACACGTTCTGAGGATCATCGATGCATCCTCGAAACCCGCCGATTCTCAGAGACTTCGGATCCATATCGGTCCGATTTTGTGTCGATTCTGCCTTCGCCTTATTTCCCGCTTGTCCGTGGTGTTCCTGTGGCACGGCATGCCACCTCCGGGCTGTGGCCTGCGCGAGGCCGGTAATCCGTACAACGAGGAACGATTGGCGAGGCCGAGGGTGTTCGAAGGAGTAGGGGATCGCTGCGTCGGATGACCCCATTGCCAACATCTGAAGGTCTGATGGAGCAGGAGGAGGAGGAGGAGAAGGAGGGGGAGGAGGAGGAGGAGGAGGAGGAGGAGGAGGAGGAGGAGGAGGAGGGTGTAAGGACAAGGATACAAGGACGATCATGACGAGGATGATAAGTGTATTGGCCTCTGCTAGCCCGTATTGTGGCCTCTTGGGGCCTCTTTGGGGCCGTTTGGGGGTCTCTTGGAACATCTTTTCGGGCCTCTTGGGGGCCTCTTGGGGTTCCAGGGGGCCTCCTGGGCTCACTTGGGGGCCCTCTGGGGGCCTCTTGGGGCAGAAGGCTCGAATTGGTGGTTCGTGTTCCCCCTCTTGGGCCCCTCTTGGGCCCTCTTCGGCGACCTGTTTCGCCTCTGGGGCCGATTTGGGGCCGTCTTGGATCGTCTGTGGCCCTCTTGGGGGCCCTCTCGGGCCGTCTTGGGGCGGTCTCGGGGGCCTCTGGGGCCACCCTGGAGCGTTGGAAAGCTGAAAAGGCGAGAAGGCCGAAAACCTCCAAAACATTGCGGAGAATCGATGGTTTCTGTCTCGTGGGGACCTCTTGTGAGGTCTCTTGGAAGCTTCTTGGGCCGTCTTGGCGGCCTCTTGGGCCGTCTTGAGGCCACCTTGGGCGGCTTGGGGCGATTTGGGGGTGTCTCTGGCCCCTTTCGGGACCGTCTTGGGGCGCTCTTGGGCCCGTATGACCGCCTCATGGACTGTCTTGGAGCCGTCTTGGGCCATCGTGGGGCCATTTTGGGAGCCTCTTGGGGTGTGTTGGAGCGGTCTTGGAGGCCTCTTGGGCCCTCTTGGAGCGTCGGACAGCCGAAAAGGCGAGGAGGCTGAAAGCCTCCAAAACCCAAGGAAAATCAATGGAAGCCTCTTGGGCCGTCTTGGCGGCCTCTTGGGCCGTCTTGAGGCCATGTTGGGCGGCTTGGGGCGATTTTGGGGGCGTCTCCGGCCCCTTCCTGTTGGGGCCGTCTTGTGGCGTTCTTGGGCCCGAGTGGCCGCCTCTTGGGCCGTCTTGGAGCCGTCCTGGGCTATCGTGGGGCCATCTTTAGACCCTCTTGGGCTGTGTTGGGGTGGTCTTGGGCCCTCTTGGAGCGTCGGAAAGCCGAAACGGCGAGAATGCTAAACTCCTTCGAAAACGTATTGATAATCATTAATTTGTGCCTCTGGGGGCTCTCTTGGGAGGTCTCTTGGAGGATGCTTGGGGCGTCTTGCAGGTTTCTTGTGCCGTCTGGAGGCCATCTTGGGGTCTTGGACTGGTCGTTCGGTGATTTGCAGTCCACTTAGACGTCTTGGGGGCCTTTTGGGGCTCTCTTGGCGCGCTCTGGGGGGCCTGAGGGGCCGCACCCAGGAGGAAAACCATCTCCGAGTAAAGGTTCGCCGGGGATCAGCCGGGGTACTTTCGATCTGGGGACCTCCAGGGGCGGCCCCGTGCGCGCGAAGCAGAAAGCTTCTAAAGCAGTTACCAGAGATCTTAGCACGCCTCTGGACCGTTGGGCCGGCAAACTCGTATATCGTTGATGGTCTTGACGATGCCGACGTCGATGATCATGGTGTTGCTGATGATTCGGATGATGAGACGGAGGAGAAAGACGACTGCGAGGAGGGGGAGGAGGGGGGAAGAGTGGGGAGGAGGAGGAGGAGGAGGAGGAGGAGGAGGAGGAGGAAGAGAGGAGGAGCGAGTATGCTGATTGAGGATATCTGGGCGAGTATGCTGATTGAGGATATCTCGTAGAGGAGAAAGAGGAGTTGGAGGAGGAGGAGTGAGGACTAGGATAGAGGTAAAGGCCTCTGCCAGAGTGGGGAGAAGGATGAGGATTTGGATGAAAGAACAGGAAGGAGCAGGGATCTGTCTCCCCGCGGCCTTGCGGCGGTACCCGTGCCGAGGCTGCGCAGAGGGATGCCATCTTAGATAGGACGTCCCCCTCCCTGCCGCCGCGAAGGAGGCACTACCACGGTTGCTGCAGCAAGATGGAAGAGATGGATGTGGACGAGGGATAAGGAGGGAGGGAGGGTGGGATGAGGAGGAGGAGGAGGAGGAGGACGGGGAGAGAGGGGAGGGAAGAGAAGTGATGGACGACGGGTCGGGCATGCCAAAGACTTCCGATGTTCTGGTTTTTCTGTGCGCGGGCCTCGCAGGTTTCAAATCCTTTTAAGGGTATTGTCCTTTCAGTCCGGATTCTTCCGGCTGTCCATGGGGTCCAGAGCGCCCCCCCCAGTCCGAGAATGAGGAACCACTTTCATGTTGCTTTTTCAGGACCTTGGAGATCTGGGTGGGGGCCCTGACATCCTCGCGTTGTGAAAAGCCTCGACACGAGGTTTTTGGCCAGTTTCGGCCCCTGGAGTATCTTACCCGGCCCTAGGGCCGTTCAACGTAGACTCAGGATAGAAAGCGAGTCCCGGGGATGCGTTCCAGACCTCGGGGGAGCCACGCTGTGAAAACATCCCGACGTCGGATGCCTGAGGGGGGTATGGAGCGGGGGGGGGGGGCCCGTTGGGGATCTCTTGGGCCATCTTGACCGCCTCGCGGGCCGTCTTGGGGCCCTCGGCTGCCCTGGGGCTCTCCTGGAGGCTTTCCGGGGCCGTCCTGGAGCTGCCTTAGGGGGGCCTCGGAGGAGGGGGGGGAGGGGGCGGGGTGGACGTGCGCGGACCAGGCGGGGAGCACAGGCGGAGAGGTCTTGCGAGATCACCGGGGGGTCCGACGCGGGAGGCTCGGGCGACGGCGCCCGTCCCCACGGGCAGGCCCGCGCGGGCACGGGCGCAGATCCGCGGGCTTCCTCGGCGCCGTGGGGGCACTTCAGGGTGGAGGGTGTCTCCGAACGGCTTAGGCGACCCCTCCTCCTCCTCCTCCTCCTCCTCCTCCTCCTCCTCCTCCTCCTCCTCCCTCCCTTCTCCTCCTCCTCCTCCTCCTCCCTCCTCCTCCTCCTCCTCCTCCTCCTCCTCCTCCTCCTCCCCTCCCTCCTCCTCCTCCTTCGCCTCCACCTCCGCCTCCTCCTCCTCCTCCTCCTCCTCCTTCGCCCTCCTCCTCCTCCTCGTCCTCCTCCTCCTCCTCCTCCTCCTCTTCCCCCTCCTCCACCTCCTCCTCCTCCTCCTCGGGTCGCCTACGGACCCGGGGGAAGCCGTGCACTTCAGGGTTCCAGGCGGGCGTTTCGCAACTGGTGGGCGATGAAATCAGGGGGGGAGCCCACCAGGGCCTTCCTAATATTTGGCGTCTGCTCGGCGGCCCTGGGCGTTTATTGAGTAACCCTGCCCTGCTGGATTCCTTCCTTACGCGCGTTTTTGCCAAACGCCTTTGCTAGTCGGGGTGCTTATGATGAGGGAGGTTTTCCCTCTCCCTATAAAAAGGGGGGCGGGACCCAGGAACGCGCAAATTCTTGCCCCCCCCACCCCCCCGTGCCAGCAGCACCGCCCGATCCAGGAGCGTCTGAGAGATGTATAGGATGGGCAGTTGGTCCCTCGGAGGGGGGCGGGAGGTCCGTGGGTAGGCTTAAGTCGGGCCTGTCCCTCTACAGGAGGAGTATGCAACAGTAGTCCAAAAATAGTCTGGGGATGATTTTGTGACTATGTTTGAACATTTGGGGGGTATTGTTCGGCTATTTTTTGTTTCTAGCCTCAAATCCCCCTGTAGGGGGACAGGCCCGACCTAAGGGTAGGCGGCTCTGAGCAACAACAAAAAAAAACATTCGGACTTCTGGAGCTCGTCGAGGGCGCACCCCATGATGGTTTTGCGTGACCCTGGAAATGGTGGCAACGAGCAGCAGGTACTGCGCTGGAAGCGGTCACTCGGTGTACGAGGTGGAGGAGGAGGAGGCGACCCCTCCTCCTCCTCCTCCTCCTCCTCCCTCCTCCTCCTCCTCCTCCTCTTCCTCCTCCTCCTCCTCCTCCTCCTCCTCTTCCTCCTCCTCCTCCTCTTCCTCGTTATCCTCCTCCTCCTCCTCCTCCTCCTCCTCCCCCTCCTCCTCCTCCTCCACTCTGAATATCCAGAACATCGACATGTGAGAGATACAGGGTTGTAGTAGCGATGCGAATTGATGTTACAGAGTAGTAGAGCAAGGGATGTGTACTGATAACATCCTGGCTCAAGGACTGAAAAGTCGAGTTTGGTAGCGCGACATATGCGATCCAACTTCAAGGTAAATCTTCCTCTTCCATATCCTGCCCGGCCAACCATAGCGTACCTTGGTCTTGTCCCGCTCCTTGGGGCCTGGCCTTGGAGTCTTGCTAGCTGGAGCGACGGCGCAACTGAGTTCGTAGAGGCAGACGGCTGGGCCACTACGATCTACTCTCGTTCCGACGACTACTACAGCCAGAATATAGATCACAGCGCTCCAGTTTTGTATCCAGTCAACTACGACCTCTTCATCATGGACGGAGCCTCTGCAAATGTCAGTGGCCATGACAAGTCGAGATTACCCCTGGACTCTTTCACGAGAAGCACTCCACCTGGATGGGTGACAGGAATCAAACGATACCCGATCAGAAGATATGCACAGCTCTTGAAGCTTTGGTGGCTCCAGACAAACCTACATGAAGAACAATGGGGCCCAGCAATCTGTGGACGACTTCGAGGACAGGTCTTCCAATTTGCGATGAGTTTGCGAGCACAACGATGGAGTTTGGCCACTGGACAGCAGATGATGATTGAAACTCCAGAGCTCTTTGCAGAGCCTTCCAATGAAGCACAGCAGATTGGTATGACTATGATTCCAGAGCAGATCAGTGGCGCGAAGTTCTTGATACAACGGATCCTCGAAGAGTGTACCACAGACAGGCAGGATCTTCAATGGGAAGTTCTCACGGCTTTCTTCGAGCTCTTTCGGGGCAGCAGCAAGTTCGGAGATTTCTTAGCATTATATGACTTGGCGCTCTCAGATGCTGAAGCACAATGTGGACTACAGATGAACGACATTGGCAAGACATACTTCCTTCTCAGAGGCGCTCAGCTCTCGGAGCGACAACACTTCGATCTGAGGCTCCGAGTCGACGGATACCTCTCCAGATACAATGATATTCGGCGCCTCTGTACACGAATGTTTGGAGATCATGACGCAGCAAAGTCTTCTACGTTGCACGACATGGCAGGAGTCTATCATGGCAGCTCGTGGCAGGACACATGGTATGGCGATTCTTACGATGAATATGAATGGCCGTGGAATGAAGATGATGCTTGGGAGGGGGAAACTTACTGGGGCGACCAGGACTGGCAAGAAGGAGAACATGCATCGGATCAACCACATACACCACATCCTTCTTCAGAGACAGGCGGGTTCTGGGGCAAGGGCAATAACCAGCGTAAGGACGGCTGCGCCAAGTGCGGGTCCAAGTGGCACTCAAGCTCAGATTGCCCATTGCCTGGAGGTTCTCCTACGAGTCATGATCATCAGGGCTCCTCAGGTAAAGGTAAAAGCAGCAGTACAGGCAAAGGCAAATGTAAGTACCTGACGAACTACGGCAACAGTGGCAGCGGAAAAGGCAGCTATCGGAAAGGCAAAAGCAAAGGGAAAGCGTCAAGCTCAAAAGGTTACCGCAAAGGCAAGAACAACTCAAAAGGCTTTCGTAGTGGACGAAGCAAAGGCAAAGGCTATCGCTATCGCAGTGGTGGCACGTTTCTTCTCGAAGATGGCCCAGCGGATGTGCATGAGTATCACTACGACGAGGACGATGGCGACATCACTTCTTGGTGTGAAGGCGATGGAGTCTATGGTATGTGCCAGCAGTCCACTGGAGACACCTGGTATGAGTACAGCGACGGCTCACCAGCTCAGCACCCTTCTACGAATGGGGCCTGGGCAGCATTTGAGACAACCGATGGCTGGGAAACCATCGGCACAAGCAGTGGAGAGCCAGCTACACCACAGAACACTCCCCAGCAGTCTGGGCAAGGTCTGGCGCCTCCTGACTATCTGTCACCTGCAAGAAGTTCAGCACCAGTGACAGCAGCTGCCTCATCCTCAACACCTGGGTCAGCGAGCACAGTATCCCGACTACTTCCAGAATTCAACTTCGACAGCCTGCTGGCACGCCGCCAGCGCATGCAAGATCTTGGCATCGATGACCCGGACGACCTGGGGGCCCCGGATTCCAGACCGTCAACGGCAGCATCAACACGTACAACACGGGCTGGAAGTGCTTTGGCACGTGCGGCCTTATTCACAGCGACTTTGTTTTCGGTCTTTGCATCCCACGAACAGGTGATGATACCCGAGAGCCGTACGATACCACATCATTGGCCGACCAAGCCGAGAGTCACGGACACGATGGCCAGCTTAAACTTCCACATGGTCCGTGGACGACCAGCCCATGGCATGCTCGTCGACACGGGCGCGGCCAAGGCTATCATGGGCACGGACACTACGAAGGAATACATCACCGACATTCTGTCTAAGTATGGCAAAGTGATCGAGGTCAAGCCTTCGGATCGCCGTTTCACTGGAATCGGCGGCCGCCAGGAGAAAAGCAAAGGTCTGGCTGAGACACCTCTTGGCATCCCACTTCCTGGCATTGCCGAGGTCACGATTGATTTGGACTTGCTTGGTGATCTGGGCTCGAAGTGTCCAGGACTTCTTCCACTCAGCGTTTTGCTTTGACTCCAGTCATCAATCCTGTGTGGGGTATTGCAAGGAGGCGACGGCATCATGATTATCAAAGTCGTGGGCTCTGGAGGCCCTCATACGACAGCAATCCCTCAGACTTTCTTCATCAGGCTGTATCTAACAGACTCATGTCACTACTTGCTTCCGACAGGCGACTTCAAGCAGGCATCGTGGTCAGATCAGAAGAAGCTGAGGAAAACCGTAGCGCAGTACTTCAACGAGGTCATGCGCACTTCGACCAATAGTCATCACAAGAAGCGGAAAGGCTCTGTTGGCATGGACGCTGGCTCCCTGACGTTAGCCGTACGAACGTCAGGCATAGC